CGGAAATGCAAATGTTGCAACTTTGGTCTCTATCGAACCGAGTCTACTGGACTTACTTTAAAATAACAAGTGTGTAACCGGAGGAACTACCTGCACAAACATCTTCCACGAAAGTGAGAAATACAGTTTGTGGAAGCACATCAGCTTCCACATGCCGGGTTGTGTTTACAGTGCACCCGTACTTATCTTTGGCAGGCTCCTTTACACTGTCTTTGTCTTTTGGGCAGCTGTGCTTCTTGTCAGCTGCGCCCACTCGGACCCCCCCACTGTCCACCTCACAGCGGAAATGTGTGAAACGGCACCAGCGTCTACTGTACGTCTCCAACTAAAAGAGTTTTTCAGTCCTCTCAGGGTGATGTAAGAGTCAGTGAATCCGTGTGAGGCAGCTTGAACTCCTAAAAATACACTTTGACAACTTCAGACTGCTGTTAAGAAATTCCCAAGTAGTCTGAGTGTGATGTAATCTGTGATGAATGTTAATCAGCGGATCAAAAAAAAAGCTGCCTTCCACATCAGACAGATTAACCACGATTTAATCCCACCCTGACTTTCTCACCCTGGATGCATTTTGTCACTCGTCCCGCTTTACCCTTGAGATGCCCCCCAACCCCCCTCAGCCTCCCCACCTTCTTTCTTCAGGCTGGAGCAGCAGATGAAAGGAAGTCAGAGCGAGCATTAAAGGCCGTGTCTTGGCAGTCAAGTTGACCTCCAGGCTTCGCTCCTCTGCTGCATTTTAATCCACCCCCTCCGACTACTTACCTGTAAAACCCTCCATGTCTGCTCAACCCGGCGGGTGGAACAGAACAACTTTAAAGGAAGTGTCATCATTCCCTTTTTTGCTGCTTAATACAGACCTTCTTTTGTTTTGTTTTTTTATAAATATATTTTGAAATTTTACTTTAAATCTTTTATTATTCTCAGTGCTGTGCTTCGTGTTCTGTGGCAGTAGCACATGAAAAGGTCAGGGAACGGTAGCTGGAAGGTCGGAGACTTTTCGGGCTTCACTTGGCTTCAAAAGACAGTAGCTGCGTTTCTGTTAACCATAAAACTGCACAAATTAAAATTACAAAAATAAATTTGCTTAACGGAACCATATCTATTTCCGAAAAAAACTTGATAAGATGTTTTTGCACAATAGTGAGGTGTTTTTTTTTCACAACATGGAAATAGATTTACTTTTGAAAAAAAAAAATCTTAAGAAGACAACAGGTAGTGGGAGTTTGTTTTTGATTTTTTCAAAGTGCAGCTGGATCCACCAGAGCGCTCACAGCTTCACACAGTTCATAAAAAGTTGTGTCATTCCAGCATGTTGAATCCACAGCTCTAATGGAAAACGGCAGACTACAATTTCCCCAAAACTCTGCATAACTAGCCGCTCACAATTAGCCGCGGCTACTGAATTCAACGCCGACATCTCCTCTGATGGCTGACATATGATGAACGGAAGCGCTATGACTGAAATATGAATATATCTCATGTTACTATCTGTCGCTGCCATGATCTTTAATGATTTATCGCGTAAACAAGCTTATTCACGTGATTTTAATTCATTTCTTATTTAATTGGAAACACCGCAATTGTGAAATCGTGTTTTTTGTCAACATTAGCAGAGTTTTGCGTACATTTGAAACCAAAAAGCCGCTAAAGTGACAGTAGCTTAAATCAAATTTTAACAAAGTCTTTTCACAGATGAAATCCAGCCGTTCCCTAATTCCTCTCTCTCGTTCAGAGGAATCTTCCATCTTTGTTACCGCTTCATTTGCACCGTCAGACCTGGCTCCCTTAACCTCACCTGCTGCTAATCTGAAACACGTGTGGTTATCGCGTTAATTCGCCGTCAGCGTGAGGAGGTTAGTGGTAAATACATGTTTGCTATTTGTTCCACTCCTGAAACCTGTCTGCACTTCTTGGCCGGGAGACAAAGCTGTCGCTGTACGAGAGCAGCAGATGCCCTTACATGTGTCGAACAGAAGAAGAACAAGAACAACTGGATGAACTCAACATCTCTTCAAAGCACCTGTCGGGCCCCGCTGGTTGCTGGGCAACAGCTCCCCCCTCCCACCCCCTTCATTCTCTTAGTTCGTCTTTTTGCTCGTGCTTTGTGCCGAGCTAAACCCGGGTTTCTGCTTAGTGGAGAGGTTCTTCTTGCCCTCGGGGAGGGCATCATTTCATCACGCTGCGTCTGCTGTTGAGGTGTGGACAGCTTCTGCGCCGGGGCTAACTAGGTGAACTATGTCTTTTTTTTTTTTTTTGCCCCCACCCCTCGGGTTTTCTCCCTCCTCTCGTAATGATGAACAGCGAGGCGCTAACAGCCGTAAGAATTCAGGCATGGAATTATTCAAAAAGCAATTTAGTCCCAACAGTGGGAAAGAAATGGAGCCGGTGTTTGACTGAAGTGGGGCGCCGGTGGAAAACACTCACAAGGGCCATTTTACTTCATCCGGAGAATGAGTTAAATGCTGAAGCAACAGTCTTGAAAAGTCGGCCTTTTACTTCGCTCTCTATTCAATGAAGACAGAGGCAGATTTGTTTTAACAAAGCTCTGATTTTTTTTTTGTCTTCAGTTCAGATCACACCATTACTGAGTTCACATAAATAAATCAGAACCAACAAACAAAAGGTTATTTAAGTTACTTTTGCTTTTACTTTGTTTCTTGACATCAGTTTTCTGTGCTGCTCTGCCACATTTTTGTGAATTTCTTTTCTTGTGCTAATGTTTAATTTAATCAACAAAGTTTATTTGTAAAGCACATTTCAGCAACAAGGCAGGTCAAAGGGTTTTACATCATAAAATATAAAGTTGCACAACAAAATACGACTTGTGGTACTATCATTTTTGTCCAGGCTTTTTTAATTAGTTCAATTTTTGTAATGATTCTGTTGAACAAAATGTCACAAGCAATGTCTGATTTTCATTGGTCAATTTTTAGTAAATGTTTATTTATTGTTACTTTTGCCAGTTTCAGGTTATTTCAGAGATTATTTGGGACTTTTTGGTCATTAACAGAGGTGGCAACAATTTTATCCATTAGTCCAAGTCCCTCATAGAACTTCTGAGAAACTAAACTTCTTATGAACTTCTTTAAATCGTGACTTTCTTCTTCCTACTCTTCATAAAGAATTATGAAAGCATTTGCATGGTGCATAAATAATAGTCTTGTCAACAAATTCTCCCACCTACGCTGAGGATATCTGCAGAAGCTTCAGATTTACCAAGTGCTGATTGTTGCTCTTTGTGCCCAGCTTGTCTGGTGTTTTATAATTTCCCCAAAGCTTTATTCCTTGTGGAATAAAGCTTTGACTAAAATTAATGTCAACATTTCATTTTAGAAATGTTGACTAAAATGAAACCTTTTTACAGATTGGTTGTGCCAAAACCTGTATCCAACTTTTCCTGTTGTTTTCAGCTGCCTGTTTTTAAGATTCTCTCATGTTTCGTTGTCTGCTTTAGCCAAGAATCAATCCGAATCCAAGGAATGTCATTTCTTTTTACGACACGTTGCACACAGAGGCACATTCTTTCAGTAGCAGCAGAGGATGATGGAACACAGGAAAATAACCTTTAAGCAGTTCTCGGTCTTGCTAAATTAGCTGAGGGTAAGCAGTGGGAAGAAAAGAAAACTCACGGTGGATGTTAGAGATTATTACCCAGAGTGTTCCTGCTCCGTGTTCAAGTTCCAGATGCTCAGTTAACGCTGACCCGGTCGTCTCCGGTCAGATGAGGGGTTCAGCAGGTGGGAAGTGCTTGTTGATGCAGGAGCGACAAAGTTGGGAAGAATGTTCCACATGTGAAAATTGTTTGCAGTCGAACAGGGGAGAAAAAAAAAAGATGGAAAGGGAGACAAAAAACAAAAAAGATCAGAAAGGAAACCATAGAATATTCTCCTCTGCACTCACAGCAGAGACCAGGGGAGTTGAATTTTATTTGAAACAGGGATAGAGTTGTGTGTGTGTCTGTGTTCCAGATAGTTACAACTCCCTCCAAATCATCAACATTCTCATCACAATTTTTAGTCATTTATCCTCATTTTCCTTTTAATCTCCTGCAGAAACCTTAACAGTAAAATACAAATTACCTGCTTTTTTTCCAAATTAAAATCTGTAGATTTTAGTAGAAACTGCAGAATCACCTTCCATTGCAGCTGCTTTATGTCTCTACCAGCTTTGCGCAGCATTACTCTGCCACTACCATGTCTTACTTTGGTGTGTAAGTGGTGATGTGTTGCGCTTACTTCCTGTACTTTGTATATAGACAAAAAAGTAACTATATCTATTTATCTATATACATATCAGCTTTAAATCGTTATGTCGATCCCTCATCAAAAATATATCTGGAGTGTTGCTTTTATTCTTTCATGCATGTTTGAGAAACCACTGAATCTCCCATGGCAACCATTAAGCCATGCCTAAACATTTCCTCGTACAAAGCTCCACCTATTTACCCAAATCTCCACTTTAGAGCTTCAGTCTCCAGCTAGGCAGCTCCTTCAGACTAGCCACCAGCAATTAGCAAACATCTGGTGGAACTGCATGTCTGTTGAGCTTAAAATACGAGCTACTTTTCAGTCCAGCACTCTTCAGAATGGCTGTAACGGTTTAATGGAGAAGTGCTGTTGTGATGACATGTTGAAGGAGGAGTTTAAGAAAGAGCAGGAGCTTCTTAAAGAAAAATCGGCCTAATTTTAAGGTGTCAGACTCAGCTAAGCAATGTCAGAATTTCTTTTAAGTTATGTTTGATATATATGCAGCATTTTCAGAACAACTGAACATAACGGTAGCTTGATTATGCTACCTGGAAAATATGCAACACCACCTGCTTAAGATGAGAACCAGTTCAGGGTATATGAATACTTTTGCAATGGTGCTGAAGTAGTAAAGCATGTTTTATGTTTTACCACTTTACAATCCACCTCATAAAGTTAGGAGCTAAAGAAGCTGTTTATGTAACACTCCAGTACACCACTTCATTTACCAGACATGGTTAAAGCAAAACCATCCCACCAGCTTTCTGTCTGTGTTTATTCTGATAGTGAACATGTTTAAGAGGGACTCCTGGTCAACATTAACATAACATTATGAGGGTGTTAGTGTTAGCATTTGTCCTTCAAACTGCTTCAGAGTTAAAGTGTGTTTAATTTAACTTCCTTGCTGTTTATTGGTTCTTACATAACGTTACATGCCTTTGTATCGTCCTTGTCCATCTTTTCTTGTTCCTCCTCTTATTTTCTCTGTTGATCTTTCTGTTCTGAATTCTCCTTGTCCAGTTTGTTTGTTTCTCTCTGAATTTCCTTCCTTCATTTTTCCTCATTTTGTCCTGTTGACATCTCTCCTCCATGTCTTCCTCTCCCTCTCATCCCAGCCTTTCTCGCCTCTTCCTTGTCTCCCGTCATCCCTTCTTCCCCCTCCTGCCTCCAGGAAGCGTTTTATCAATGGAAACCATTCAGTTTGTGGGACTTTGGCCCAGTTAGGCCCCTCTGGCTTGTCAACAGTTGTCTTGGAGAGGCGATGCACTCGCCAGGGCTGGCTGTCCTCCTACTGTGCCTCTTTGCCCCACCCCGGCCCGTTGCTGCTGGGCTGCTTCTTCTGGCCCGAATCGGTTCGTCCAGAGCCAGCTCTGGTGCGTTTAGGGGTGTGGGTTTTTGCATGTGTGTGTTCTGGTTTGTGTGAGACGGTCAGTTTGCTGGCTTGGTCACAGCACCTAAGCTGTGTGATGTCACTGATCTGATGTCCAAAAAAACAAAAACAAACGTTGGTGGATATAAGACTGTAGGAACATTGGGTATTATTGTTTACATCTGGGAAATTTTGCGAATCTGCACAAAGCTGGAAAGCAGACGACTATTTTGCTTTCCATCCATAGCCTTGCTGCTGCAATAGAGGAATCCCAGGAACAAAAAGAAACCCAGAAATGTTTGTATTATAATTTAGTACATAGGAAAGGAAATGATAACACAGAAAAACAGTTGAAGAACAACTCAAAACTAGTCATTTTCTTCCTTCTCACTCTGTGTTGGCTATGCTGCACACAGACTCGTTGCCTTAGCGACTGACTGACAGCAGCTCCTCTAGCGTATCAGGATGCAACACCAAAATGCACAGACATTTCCCACACAAAGACCAAAACATTCAGTCCGTTACAGTATGATGTTTATTTGTGATTATTAATAAGTGATTTTGTGAACACAGCTGCGATTGATTAGCTAATTTAAACACCTGCTCTACTTATGACTCAAAAATACTTTATTGGTCCCAAAGGGAATGATCTGACAGTGTAGGTCTATGGGGCAGATTTTTAGAAAAACACCCATATTCCGCAGCATGTCTACATGTTAATTGAATCTAACTTGGAGTTCAAAGCTTTGTCCAGGAATACTTGAAGGAAATGGGAGGAAGCTAAAATCCACCACTCAACTTTTGGATTTGATTAACCTCAGCTGGGTTTAGCTATGGGTTTTGACTTGGTCGTCAAAATGCAAAAGGCTCTGATCTGAAGTGTTTTATTGGAGCTCTGGCTGAATGTTCAGGGTTGAAGGTTTAACCTCTGCCCTGGTCTGAAGTGCTTCCCAGCCTCAAACCAGTTGTTGTTTTTTCCAGTACTATCCAGGTTTTAGCTTAATTCATCTTTATCCAGCTTCCTGCTCTCTGTTACCCACATCACACTGCTGCTGCTCTGCTACATAAACTCCCAATAAAACTGAAACTTATGGTTACTGATATTTTTTTCCTCGGCCTGTTTAACATCTAATGTAAATAAAAATGCATAAAAAACTGCAATCGTCTGAACGCCCTCGACTTCTAAACTCCTTCCCTCTGTGAATTGGGTGAGGTTGAAAAGACCTCGGTGTATGTATATCATATAATTATGAGCTGCGGTGCATGTTTATAAAAAGAGTACAGTCTGAAATCTGTACTCTTGTGTAATTGTGTAATTACATATTTGCTTCTAGACAGCTGGGTATCTGTATAGATGCTGGAAATGCTATAGATACTCTAATGTAAGCCACATTTGGTGCCTATGTTGTGGGACTTTTATTTTCTCCACATAGGCACAATAGAGGAAACATTATGCAATTAAATGTGTTCATTCAATACTATATTTATACAATGTGCATGTATAACTGCACTGTAAACTCTGTGTGGTTGTGGTTGAAAAGAGAGCTTGTTGTTGCAAAAACAGACAAAGATGTAATCTTAGCTGTGAATGGGAATGGAATTGCTTCAGTCTGAGCAGGTCACATCTAGCATTGGTACCTGGTAACACTTAGCTGCTACATATAGATGTATTTATGCAAAGAGGTCATGGCACAGATCACGCCACCAAGGTTCACTCAAAGATAAGTAGACCGAACTGGTAACAATGTAGAACTATCTGGTTTCCATGCGGCTAAACGCTGAGACTGGATGTCAGTTTGTGTTGAATCAGAACTTGTCCTTCAAGAAGAGTCCAAAGTAAGATTGCTGGAGGAAAAAATGTCAGATACATAGATTGTAACCAAAATCAGCAAAAATATTAGTTTCTGAGTCCAATATCAAATTTGAATTTAATTGTGGTCCCAAAAAAAAGAGTATTGAATTAAATGGTGTGATAGTAGAATATTCCCATTGTTAAAGGTAACCTCTATGTGGATGGCAGAACCCAAAGAATCCCTCTTCCAATCCAACCTGGTGCCACGTGTTGCACACACACATACACACACACACTCAGTCATTCTTTAGGCCTTTGCTCATATCCCTAGTGGTCGTAATGCTATGCCTGATCAGTGTATATTCTGATATAAAGATGAAGCCTATAGTTTTCTCTTCACTGCGTTCTTGCTGCTGCAGGTGTGAACTCTTCCTTATCCTCCATCGCTTACAGTTTCTAAGTCAAAGTGCTCTACCTTGATGTGCTATCTTTCATCATTTTAATTAAATTTCCTGAAGAGGGCTCGGGGTGCCTCTAAATGCCGTGCTTCCATATTGATCGCGGTGAACAATAGGGAACCTGGAAGGGCTTTTAGTCTAGCTCTAAAAAAAAAAAAAAAAGAAAAAGAAAAAAAGAAAAAGTTCCAAAAAGCGGCACACATTGCAGAGCTGCCGGACTGAACTGTCACTGCACACTGAGGGGCGTTTAATCTTCATCACGGCTCATCCATCACACGCCGACAGCACAGGAGACGGCAGCCATGTTTACATGCACAGTGTTCGATTCTAAGTAGCCCAGTTACCCGACCGTGACCAATTTTTTTTTATTCTCAGGGAAAAATACTTCAGCAAATATGTAAGCTAAAATATGTAATAAAAATAACAAGGCTGGTTTTACTGGGGGAAGTTGGAGGTGTTTCTTCCTGCAGGACGTTTCATTCGGATGCACAGACACAACCTGCTGGTTTTGATCAGCAAATATAAAAAGCGTGACTTTGAAGGACCTTCGTAAGCTTCTGATTTAATTACGGGTCACAGGTAGATTTGAATGTCAATAAAACGACATGGCAATCCAGAGGTACTGACAATCACAGCTGCCATGGGAACCCTCATTAATAGCCCCCCTGGGAGCAGTTAGAGGAATCCTCTCTCTGGCAGCCAAACCCTTTCATATTTTCTGTGAAGCAGCATGCTGGAAGCTGACAGGAATATTCTAATAACTTGTTTTTTTTTCATACAAGGGAAATTCAATCCCAGAGGATCAAAGGTTCTTGTCGAGGTCCGGCACTTTAACCTGAATAGTGATTTATGAACAAAAAAAGTTGGTCCTTAAACATGGACCCTGAAACATGGTTGAAAACTGACCTGCTTATGTCCAGGGTTTCCCCCAGTTTATTATAAGCCTGGCGGCCCGCCATGCTTCACTAGTCCCCCGCCAGGCAAAGCGTTGCTAGTTTATGTTTTTAGGAAAACATTATTAAAAAAACCCAACAAAAACAAATTACTTATTTTTATTTTTAAAGCTGGATTGCAAGCATCTCTGTTGCTCTGAGCATTTTCACTGGCGGAGCAGATTTATTCCTAAAAGATCCGTTTATAATAGGTTTATATTTTATGCATGCGCATGCACGCACACACACACACACAGTCATTCTTTAGGCCGGCAGCACGTGGACCAATAACACAGCGTGTTGCCACGCGCTGTAGCTGCTTGATGAACTTCACCTCAGCGCGGATCGCACACACCTTCTTTCACTCAAACTGGACACACCGACTCACCTGTATGGATATTTACATCAACTTCCTGTGAGGAATTAAGGTAGGAGTTTAAAACTCACCACATTAGCTCTGGTTGCACAGCTAACGTGGTGCCAGGAAAAACCTATAATCTGCTTTTAAATTCAATTCAGTTCATGTATGCTGCACCAATTCACAATAAATGTGAATGATTTTCACAAAAAGAAAAGAGAAGGAAATACAATTTATAGGCAGAAATTTGAAGTTAGATCCAGTATATACTCACTGTTAAAACGCCTTCGGTTGAGGTTCACGTCCTGCTGCTCAGATGGGTTGTTGATTTTCCTGTTTAAATCAGTGGGTGGAAACAAACAAAGCAGTCTTTGCGCCGGTATCTGTCAATTCATAGAACTATATCATGCTTAATGATATAATTTGTCAAAATTGATAAATTTATAAGTCAAAAGAAACCAACTCGCAGTGAGATGAGACCCCAGCATGGAGCGCTGGCCAAAATCTGAAAGGCTGGTTTGTGAACCGAATGCCTATCATTGATTTACAGCGAGAGATCCAGAGACTTGGCAATCTTTTGGAAAAGGAGAAGGAAAAATGGCTCAAGGAGAACCAAAAACTAGTCTACATGCAAAGAGAGCTGGAGCTCTCCAAGAAAAAATGTCCAAGGAGATTGCCTGCCTGCAGGAAAGGGAGAACCTGCAGGAAACGGAGAACCGTCTGCAGAGTGAGCTGGTGCTGTGTAAGATTTCATACCAAGAGTTAAACTGTTAAGCTTTTTTTAGTTAGCGTCAACACAGTCACATTTAGCTTATGGAAAAAGTGCCAGTCACAAAAATCCCCGAAAGTGTGGCTTACAGAGAAGTGCGACGTATATAATTGCAGCATATATATATATGTATTTACATACATCTCTTTGTTTGGTTTCTATACATATTTGTATGTACGGACGTAGCAGAGGGCTGCGTCCGTAATAAATCTGCTATTAAGGACGCAGCCCTGCTACTGAAAGGCCCTCGGACTCGACTTAAGAGAACAGGAGATCAGGCTTTCTCCATTGCTGCTTCTATTCATAGGTAGATTATTCTACGGTATAATCTACCTTTCCATATTAGAAAGGTAGATTATTCTTCTTTGGCATTCTATTGAGGCCTGACACTGTAACTCTTCTGTTGTGATTTTTTTTTTAAATTTATTACTCATATTATTTTATCATATATATATATATATATATATATATATATATATATATGTTGTTGTGTTTTTTTTTGGAGTTTTTGCAGTAGTCCTTCACTTTAGTAGTTGACTCTCTGGATAACAGCCCACATGGATTCTTCCAAGAGTCAGAAGTTTATATGAGTTTATTCTTGGACGGATGGGTGGAAAATCTGAACGATGTGTCTGCTATGCCTTTTAGTTTGTAAATCGTTTGCTTCAAAAATAATGTTTGACGGGTTTTTTTTTCCCTCCAGTTCTTTTGCAATTTGCTGTCAAAAATGAAGCCTGCATGGCAATTTCCAACACGAACCTTGTAGTATTTGACTCTCCAGTGTCATTCTGCGTCATGCTTTTCTGGAAGCATCCTCCATCGAAGAGCCTGAAACGCGTCCAAGCTTCCTGCTCAGGCCTTCTACCGTCACGCTCCCTCTGGTGCTGCGTAAACTGACTTCATCAGTTCCGTCTTGACCGGGGGCAGCAAAGTTTAGCGGGACCACTCGAAATTCCACACGGGCAGCATAGAGCCACCTTTGTGTCGTGAGCCAAGCTCATTTTGGAAAAGGAATTAGTGTTTCTTCGTCCTTGGAGATTAAAAAACATTGTGCAGAAACAAGCAAATATGGGAAACCTGTGGCCTCCCAAAGGAGGATGCACAGATGGTGCCGTTAGGTTTTTCACTGATGGAACTTTCTAGGTCAGACATCTGGTGGTGGTTGGGGGGAGGGTTGGTATTCTCAGTGGGGGCTACCTGCAAACAGCTTAAGGGTCTAAAAATAAAAAGGTAGCAGTAAAAGAAGGAGTGATAAGGCTCCCTTTCTTTCTTTCTTTCTTTCTTGGTTGTTTACCTTAAACATTAGAGGGAAGGTGGTTTCTGCATGTGGAACCATTTTCCCCCATTCTTAATGACTCCTAATTTCATGGCAAATAAACTAAACAATGATGCCTTTGAGTCTTGCTTCACTTGTAAGCACTGCAAGACAAAATCGCATTCTTTTCCAGTCAAAGGCCGGCTTAAATGTTCCTTTCTTATCTACCAGTCGACCTGTAAATGCACCCCAGACTGTTTGGATTTAGTTTTTCCAGGCAGTTTGATGTCTGATTCCATCAAACTCTTTAAGACCGCAGTGTTTGACTTTTCATAAAAATCTGGGGGGTTTTTCTACATATTTGTTAAAACGGTAATCATGTCGTGACAGTGCAATATGTGACAGATAATCTATCAAAATAAAATCAAACTTCTCCTTGTGGTTCTATTGCAGGCTGCATAAATACATCGCTCCTGATCAAAAACAACCAATCAGAGCTTGGAGGAGGGTCCTAGTGCTGTCAATCAATCTCAAGCATATGCTGCTCAACATGCTAATTGGATTAGTCATTAGTTAATCTGCTAATAACAGAGAAACAATTTATCGTTACAGAAAAACAGTTTATCTGCCGTCATCTGTGGCTCAGCTAACTAGCTTAGCATTCACAACAAGGAAACAAGCTGTAGCTCATATACGAAAAAAGAAGGAGAATGCATGTCACGTTCTGCTTTAATGTTTGTAGTTTCCTTCATTTAAACAGGATGGATTCAACTACAGTTTTCCTCAACTGGAATCCACTCAAAAGACCGAGGAGTTATCTTCATTTATCTCCTATTTATTTATCAGTTTTCTTTTACATTTGGTCCCAAAGTAGGTAAAACCCTTTAAAAAGCTCAAAAAGAAGATAAATATTTCTAACCTGTATTATTTAAGTTTACATAAAATAATTTTACTCAGACTGCAAGTAAAAAATAAGACTAAGTAAACCACCATGAATCAACCCAGAAAAGTGCTTAAAGTAAAAAAAAATAATTAAAGTTTTTAAACTTTAAAAATGCAACATTTCACAATTACTTATTCATACTAATAATACATTTCAAGTTATTATTTTATCTAATTTACATTATTTAATGTTTGTCAAATCCATCAGTTAAAAATTATGATGCAAAACTCATTCCAACCATTAAAATCACTCATTAATATGCCAAACATTGACAAGATTTTAATAACTACATTATAATTAAGTTCAAACAGCATACAGGTGTTAATGAGCAACGTCAGTGTACAGTCTAGCCGGTGGCTAAATTAAAGCTAATCCATCCAGCAGTGATTGTTTACAGTAATAATAAAGTCTCTGTTATCGGCTGCTTTTCTACTTCTTTGTAGATGTATCCAGCTCTACACAGACCCACCACACCAGCAGACCGCGGCTGAAAAGTGACACCAAACTCCCAGTTGCTTCGTGTTACTTTTGTCTGGCGCTTCTGATATTTCCATCATTGTCCGTCCCTCTTTATGGTCCGTGTAGTACAACCACTGGTCCGCCATGTTTTCTTCTGATGGTCCACGAGCAAGTGCATGTCTTTTCCCTTCTTTTTTTTCTTTCTCTGTTTTTCTGTCTTCTTCTGATTTGACAGATTATCTGTTTAATATTATATTGTCAGGACCAGTGATGTCAGTAACTAACCCATGTTATTTTATGAGCTTGAATCTCCTGGTAAATAATTTATTTAGCTTCTGTAAATCCAAATTCATGTTGGAGTTGTAGGTTAACGTTGAGTCGCTGTAGGACGCTGGATTCAGGTCCATCAACAATTTGCACCAATCTATAGAAACCCCATGTTCCTGTCTGTTTGTGGTCAGACACAAAGCATGTGGGGTAATAGTAACAGCTCATGGGTTACTATGACCTGTAACCCATAGCTCATAGTAACTATGGGTAGTTACTACCCATAGTAACTAGTATGGTTACTATGGTTAGTAGCCAGGTAGTAACCTGGCTACTAACATAGTAGCCAGGTTATATGGCTGGTTACATCCAGCCATATAACCTGTATGGCTGGATAGGTTATATTTAGTTTATTTAGCTTTTTTAATTTTATTTTTTTTAGCATGAAAGTCCCACTGAATAAACATATTTTCTGTCCGTGACTCGGCACTGAGCTAGCTGCTAACAAAATTAGCGCTCTGAGGACAACCACGCAAGGGCATAAAAGTAATATATCTTACCTTACATATGATTGCTTGTCTTTCTAAGTAGCTGTCCAATAAAATATCTAAAATACAATTTAAATAATGCAATTGTTTCCTGTTAGAAAGTGGTGCTGCAAACTCTAGCATTGTTAGTTTCCGCAGCTCCTGCTTTTAGAGATTATTGATCCACTTTTCTCCTTTTTTCAGTAATTTTTTAAAAATTAACTCCCTTGTGACCAACTACCTTCGAAACACACACAAAAAAATGTTTTTCTTTCTCTCTATTTGAACTGTTGGAGTTACGGGTCAGGGTTTACCAGGAGGACAGACCCGAATTCTTAGAAAGTGACAATAGTGCAAGTAATGCATCTAATAACATTTTAATTATAGTTCAATTTAGTTTATTTATATAGTGGCAATAGTCAAAAAATTTTAATCTTGAGGCGCTAAGCGAGAAAACACCACTTATACACAGAAAATCGACAGTAATGTAAGATAATTTGACTCGATTGGCAGATTAAGGTACTTAAAAATAACCTTTAAGCAGATATCAGACATGCTTCTTAATGAGCTTCAATTTCTTCATTGAGATTATTATTCATCTGTGACTTTCTAATCTAAATGTCCTGCCTTTCGGTAGTTGCAAACAGAAAATCAGACCTTAACATTCAGAGTTACAAAAAGAGAGTTATAAAGTTGGCCTTCTGTCACCTGAAGAACATTTCCAGGATTAGAGGACTAATGAGAAACTCATCTATGTGTTTATCATTTATCTCATTGATTAGTTCAACAGTATCCTCACAGGTCTGCCTAAAAAAAATCAATCTCTGCTGCTGGCCTTCTGACTAAAACCAGGAAGATAGAGCGCATCACCCAGTTCTAAAGTCCTTTCATTGAGAGAATAGACATTAAAATACTGTTAGTTTATAAATCACTGAGCGGCTTAGCAACACAACACATTAAAGATCTGCTACTGTTTTATCGGCTAGAACCAGAACCAAACATGGAGAAGCAGCATTAAGCTTCTACACACCACAAATCTGGAACAAACTACCAGAAAACTGCAAAACAGCTGAAACACTGAGATCCCTTAAATCAAAGCTAAAAACTCACCTGCTTAGAGCTGCCTTTGATTAGTAGCAACTAGAACATTGAATATATTTGATGTGTATGTGCTTGATGATTTTGATGATGGTATTTGACAAAATGTAATGTTTATCGCTTGCTTCATAATTGATGACTGTACGATGTTTTCATGATGTAAAAGCACTTTGAACTGCCTTGTTGCTGAAATGTGCTACAAAAATAAACTTAATTCGAATTTATTTGATCTATTGTAGTGAAGAAGAAGGTTATA